AAACCCTAAAGCCAAAAACTTGATGCCTAGACCCTAAACTTTGATGCCCAAATCTTAATGCCTAAAACTTGATGCCTAAAACCTAAAAGGAGTGCTTGTCTGTGATCAACTCAAACTCATACTAACCCATGATTCTTGAGCAAAGTTCACCGGTGGCCATTGGCCGGCGGTGGGTGGTCTCCAGTCGTGGTCGCCAGCGGTTGGCAGCAGTCGTGGTCGCCAGTCGGTTGGCAGTGGTTGTCGGCAATGGTAGGTGGTCGGTGGTCGAAGACAAGAACAGTCTTGGAGGAATTTAAGGCCCGTGCTGAACGGTGCTTGGCGAATCTGGACGGTTGAGGATCGCGCGGCTGTGCCGACCACTGCCGACCACGCCCACGTTGCGACCACCGGCAACGCCGCTGCCGACGCGCTAAAGGCCCCCTCCGACGTGAAAGGATTACGACAAGTGTTAGGAATAGCCGGCTACTACCGCAGCTTCATACCGAATTACGCAGATGCGCAAGACAGCCACATACGAGTGGAAAGAGGAGCAACAGAGGGCGTTCAGGCAAATAAAGGAGCAACTGAAGCAGGCAGCCCTATGCAACGATTACGCCGCAGAAGAATTAATTATCGAGACCGACGCGAGTGATTACGCAGTACCCGGCATTCTATCATGCAGAAAGAACGGCCGCGATTACCCAATTGAATACATGTCTAAGACATTAACGGAACTAGAAATAAGGTGGCCAATGAGAGAGAAAGAAGCCTATGCAATTGTAGTTGCACTCCAAAAGTTCGATGTCTACATACGGGGTCGGAAGGTTACCATATACACCGATCACAAAAGCCTAGAGTGGATGTTCCAGGCCAAGAAAGGTAAGATTGCCCGATGGGCCACACTCCTACAGGAGTACGACCTGACCGTTATCCACAAGAGCGGAATCGAGATACGGGTAACGGAATGGAGACAAGCGTACCAAGAGATATCTACCGTTGAGAGAGACCGACTGAAGGTCCGAGAATGGCAAGGGATGCTGACCAGAGGAGGCCGGGCATACGTACCACCACAATACGTGAAGCGAGTAATACGACACTTTCATGACCGACGGGTCGGGACCCACGCCGGAGTAGTGAGGACACACCGGAGAACCCAAGAACTATTCTGGTGGCCCAGACAGATGGAAGACATACGGCGGTACATCGGAGCCTGCCTAACTTGCCAACGCCGAAGGAATGGGATGGAACGCACGCAGGGACTGAGTAGGGCTTTCCCACTAGGGGACGGTACATATCGACTTCTGGCAAACCAGAGGAGAAGGCAGGCCAATAATGACAGCAGCGACATTTATTCGG